CGTTTGGTTAAGGGAAAATTGTCCAAACTTCAAAGCAAATCAATTAATTTCAGTAATGTTGCGGGTTGTTAAAAAATACTGATAAGTTCAGGGCAACCTAGAGAACTTTAAAGAAATTCGTTTAGGCAGTTTTAATAACACCCGGAAAGTCTAGACTGTTGAAGAAGTTTTAAATTAGTGTAGAACTTAAGTGAAAATCATAAAACTATACTAATTATTTCATTCTAATTCCATGAAGCTATCCTCCGAATTAAATTTTCTTTTAGTTTTTATCGTAATTACCTTGAAATTCTCCACAATAAGACACCCTTTGGAAAGATTATCAGAATATTCATTGAATTCATTTCAGATTTCCTTTTGAATCCCACTCCTTCCCTTGGAATTCTACTCACATTGAAAGTCTCCTAAGAATTCATTGGCATTTCTACTCACAATTTCCTTAGATTTCTTCTCATAATTTGTTTGGAAAACTCTCCTGAATTTATTTTCCGAATTCCTTTGAAGATTTCCTGGAGTTATTCTCAGATTTAATTGTAATCCTTCTTTTAGTATTTTCAAACAAATTCCAAGGATTTATGCTCCGAATTTGTTTTCTCCCACACACTTTATGAAATTATTCTCAGAATGCCCTTGAAATTTTCCTTTGAAGTTCACAGGAGTTGTGCTCCTCAGAAATTCCTAAGAGTTTTCAATAAAATTTAATTTTAATTCAATTCAGGGTCACTTTTTAGTCACTATTTTTACAACTATCAGTCACTATTTAGTCACTTATTTCTTCAACATGGTCACTAAAATCACTATTTTTGACAGCAGTGATGGCTGCCAGCCCTGCTTAGGCTAAACAAATATCGAAGTCTCGGAATCTTGGAAATATTTTTATTATTTATATCTGTTAATACAGATGTGTTGAAACCTTTACTTGCTCCGAGAACTTTGTATCAAGCTGAAGCAATTTTTGCAATTCATGCTAAAGTTTATTATAATGACATGTTAATATCATTTTACCATAAACTCAACAAGTGGGTGAAATTTCATAGTACTCTGAGAACCTTCGGCCTATTTTTTTCCGATAAATGAAAAAAATGCCCTTCGTAAATTCTGGCGCTTTAAAATCATAAAAGAACTCGAGTTTTACTAAGTTATTCAAATGGATTCTAAGTATCTTGAACACATAACAGCACGTCACTATTCTCAAGTCAGTCACTAAAGTTACTATTTGGTAAAATTTAGTTCCTTTATTCCGAACAATGGTGAGAGTAAAGAATTAGCCTTTTAAAAATCACATCAATTCACAGTTTGATTTGACAACAAATTTGTGTTAGAATGATTTATTAAAAATCAACGTCTAAAGTCTGACGGTTAATGTTGACCAGGCATGGAAAATCATTTGCATTCATTTCATACATTCATTTACATTCATTTGCCTCTAACTTTTTTCATCAACAGCATTCCGCAAAATGATGTAGAAAGCTTTTGTAGGTTTTGTTATAAGCTACAAGTTTTGTTCATAACTCAAATCTATATCTCTTATGCATCATGAACTACAGCGGGCAGTACTTGTTACTGTTTTTCAGTGAATGTAAAATACATTCACTGAAAAACAGTAGTGGATTCTGTTCGCTCTGCTTCGTGAAGCAGAGGAGATACGGATTTGACTTGTTAACAAACGTTGTAGCTAATAACAAAACCTACAAAAGCTCTATACATCACTTTGCGGAATGCTTTTGAAGAAAAAAGTTAGGGGCAAATGAATGTAAATGAATGCACGAAATGAATGCAAATGATTTTTCATGCCTGATGTTGACTGAATCACTAATATTGTGATTTATTTGATTTATTTTTCAACTTCATGATCTAGACATTCAAGTTCGTTATCTTCAATATTTGTCCGGATTGTTTATCATTTTTTTTTTACTTTCCTGCAGAGGCGTCGCGTCACCTCACTTTTTACCTGTTCAACAACTTTGAAAACGTTATTTAGGGTCATGTTTACATTCAAATCAGTTTCAAAAGGCATAGGGTCTTCTAGTTTCACTGATTTGTATCCATTGGTACCAATATTGTTTTGTTTGTTTACGTTTTGAGAGTTGTTGAACAAGTAGATTGAGGTTAGGGCGATGCCACTGCTTTCCTGTGATCTATCATAAATTTTCTGAAATTTCGAAAAACAAATCTAGACCCAACATCCTAGCTTTTTCACTTAGTAACCTTGAAAATTTACCAAGCCTAAGGTGTCAAAAGGCCAGGAATGTAAATAATCTTGTTTTAGTATTTGCCAAAAATTTGAGAAAAAATTCATGTCTCTCAATTTTGAGCTCATTTTTAAGCCGATTAAATTGGATTGTATTCTTTTTTGCACTTGTAATCCGGAATCAAAACATTTCCAAACCCAAAAAAGTCAATGCCCAAGATTATTCCTGTCTTCACTGTTTTCTTAATTTGTGTGTCTTGATGATCTTGTAATTTCAAGTCCCAACATTCAAAAAATGGTCCAAAATATCTTAAATTTCTCCGAATATTAGCATTTTTTTTAGAGAGATTTTTTCCGTGATTTTGGAAAATTTTCCTCGTTTCAGAATAGAGCAATTACACACCAAATATAAAATCGATAATCATTCAAATTTCTGCTAAAATTTGACCATTTTTGAATCTTGCAAATTTTTTCAAAATGATGTCTTCGACATTTTCAATAAATCGTAGGACGCTAACGTCACTTCCAATAAAAATGTTGTCTGAGACCAAGTTGTAGGAACAACTAGTCTTTCTAGGAAAAATATATGCAGTATTTTTTAAGGTAATTTTGTGGTATTTTGGATTTTTCTTAAAAAAAAAAAACTCATGGAAAAAGCAAACTTTTAGAACATTGAAATCCGTGGACGCTTAAGAAATTCTCTCAGCTTCCGGAATAGCTTTTGATTTGCAGGAAATTTTTCGGAAGGTCCCATATCTTTCCGAAATAGACCCTTATGAAAGACCATAGTCGATAAGAGTAAAAAAAAATAAACAAACAAACACGACACGACTCCCCAATGTCACAGTGCCAGTCAGTATAGTGAACCAGAAGAAGCAGTCGCAAAAACATTCTCTCCTCAAACAAAATACACAATAATTTCTAGCATAAACGCCCAACATGCATACAAACTCGAACGATCAAACTCGCGAGTAGAGGCGACGATCAATGAACAATAAAGACGACGGACGACTGCGGCGGCGATGGGAGAGTTATGAATGCATTGGTGTTGGTGGAATCAGTGCGATTCAAAAACTTTCTCTGCGCTCGTTTTCTTGAATGATGGCGAGCGAGAAGAGAGATATTTCCTATCATCACAGGTATTCATTTCTCCCACCACTGCCTCTCTTTCTCTCTGTGTGTGTGTGTACCATAGCAAGCGAAGAACGAGAGAGTAGTTCCATTCGGCGATCAAGCGCATTCATGGCAAGCAGTGTGTTCTCCTCTCTCGTTCTCTCTTGTCCTCCTACGAATGTCGAAATATCGAGAGGGAATCGATTTTTTTCTTCTCGATTCGATGAAGAGTGGGGGTGACTGAAATGAGAATGAACGTCGGTCGGTCGGTCGGATGATTTTGTCGGTAGTTGTGGTTGCAGGGGAATTTCTGTAGAAGAGAATGAAAAATAATGTCCAAAGAAACTGTACTGAAAACAAAGAGCAGTGCGGTGCTCTGCTCTCTACGCGTGCAGATGTGTGTTGGTATATGAATGGGATTTTATGATGGTGGTATGTTTGATGGTTTTGTCTCATTTTTCGTTGTTTGATGGAAAACGGAGATTTCTCTTTTTTCCTTCTGATGATGATTGGCAATAGTTTTTTCTAGGATGAAAATTGTTTAAAACGTTTTTTTTTGTTTACTAACAGAAGGGAATATTAAATTTGAGGGAAGAATTCTTGTTGTATTTAACGGTTTACGTGCAGTCAGGACTGTTTAGAAGGCTGAATAACATTTTTAAATGAATAAATTAACGTTCATTTGATGTTGACTTTCGATATATAGGGTAAGGTGGGGCAAGATGGGTCAGCTAGTACATTTATTGTTTTATTTGTTTGTCAATATCAACAGATTCAATGCCTTTTCAAAACAGCATTGGCCTGTTGGTATTGATAAACAAAAATGTGTATAAATCAAGTATTAGGACCCATCTTGGTCTGTGACCCATCTTACCCTACATCAACAGTGACCGTGGGAAAACATTGTTTGTAATTTAGTTTGTCTAAGCAAGCTTTTGAACAGTTCCTTGATCCCATGATAGTAAAATATTGTATACTGCCGTTATACAAATAAAACTTCAAATGACAGTGATATAAGCATAAACAAGCATGACTAAAAGCTTATAGGCACTAACAGTTTTAAATAAAGACGTTAGTAATGCTGAATAAAAGCTTGTTATAATTAAAGCTGCCCACTCATGAGAAAATGAATAAGTTATAATGAGAGCCCTAAAAAGCGAACTCGCGCTCTACGACCATAATGATATTGCTCCTCTCATCACCGATTAGGCTTTCCTCATTTACCATTATAGATCCTGGATCATTTTAACACTCCCTGCGAAAGCCCGTAGCTACCCAACTAACAATTTTAGCTGCAGTTTAGCTTATACAGCCAAAAATTGACTTATACAGCTAATTTTTGCCTGTATAAGCTAGTCTGCAACTAAAATTGTTTGTTGGGTACCCCCCCCCCCCCCCCCGCCCCCTAACCAGTGTCACCCCTAATGTAATAATTATCTTGTTTCATTCTATGAACTTCACCTGTCATGTGTGTGTGTATGTGTGAACAATTGCATTCTGCGTCCCGCGCGTCGTCAACTCCCTTAATTTGCGCTAATACCCTCCTCTAATATCGGACTCGCGTGCGCACGCACCTTCTTCACTTCTTCACCGCCACCACCACCACCCATATACATTAAATCACCACCCATATCACATCACATTTCCATCGATTCGATGATTGACACTAAAGCTCTTTTGGACAACTATCTACCAGATACACGTACTGCCAGAAGTGCTTCAACGATATCCCTGGCGACATGGTTACCCTCGGTGACGACCCGATGCAGACCCAAACGTGAGTATACCAACTTCTCCTGCAAGATTCGCTCGCTCTAACCTGTCTCCCTCCCTCCCATTCGTCTAGTCAAATCAAAAAGGACCAGTTCAAGGAGATGAAGAACGACCACCTGGAGTTGGAACCGTTCGTCGTGTGCTTGGACTGCGGCCGCAAGCAGCACCAAATCTGCGTCCTCTACCTGGAGTCCATCTGGCCGGGTGGGTTCGTGTGCGACAACTGCCTCAAGAAGAAGGGCGCCAAGCGGAAAGAGAACAAATCCAACGCCAAGCGGTTACCCACCTCCAAGCTGGGAACCTACATCGAAACGAGGGTCAACAATTTTCTCAAGAAGAAAGAGGCTGGCGCCGGCGAGGTGCACATCCGGGTGGTCTCCAGCTCGGACAAAATCGTTGAAGTCAAACCGGGCATGCGGAGTCGGTTCGTCGAAAACGGCGAAATGCTGCCGGAGTTCCCGTATCGAGCGAAGGCCCTGTTCGCCTTCGAGGAAGTCGACGGCATCGACGTGTGCTTCTTCGGTATGCATGTGCAAGAGTACGGTTCGGAGTGCGCAGCACCGAACACGAGGCGAGTCTACATCGCCTATCTGGATTCGGTACACTTCTTCCGGCCCCGACAGTACCGTACCTCGGTGTACCACGAAATCCTGCTGGGGTACATGGACTACGCCAAACAGCTCGGCTATACGATGGCCCACATCTGGGCTTGTCCACCGTCCGAAGGCGATGACTACATTTTCCACTGCCATCCACCGGAGCAGCGAATTCCGAAACCGAAACGCCTGCAGGAGTGGTACAAAAAGATGCTCGACAAGGGCATGGTCGAACGGACCATCCAGGACTACAAGGACATCCTGAAGCAGGCGATGGAGGACAAACTGCAGTCGGCTTCCGAACTTCCCTACTTCGAGGGCGACTTCTGGCCCAACGTGCTGGAGGAAAGCATCAAGGAGCTCGACCAGGAAGAGGAGGAAAAACGCAAACAAGCGGAACGCGAGGAAGCGGCTGCCAATGCGGTGAGTTTTATGTTCTTCCCCGTCCAATCAACATATCATCAACTGTTTTTCACCTTTTAAGCAGATAATGTCCATGAACGACGACAGCGACACCGGTACCGATGGCAAGAAGAAAGGTGGCCAGAAGAAGGCCAAAAAGTCCAACAAATCGAAGGCGGCCCAGCGGAAGAACAACAAGAAATCCAACGAACAGAATGGGAACGATCTGAGCGCCAAGATCTTCGCCACCATGGAGAAGCACAAGGAGGTGTTCTTCGTGATTCGGTTGCACTCGGCGCAGTCGGCGGCTAGTTTGGCGGTAAGTGATCCAACCCGTTATTATTTTGCCATATCGCATTGAAAACGATGCGAAGGATTATTTTTGAACGTTTTATTCAAGTGCGTGTTATGTTATACTCCAAACAACATGTTAGCAATTGTTTATGTTATACTCCAAAAGCACACATCGAATTATGGCGATAAGCATTAAAATTTCAAAATTGTACTGGTGTACTGGTGTCGAACAACTGTGGGTGTCCATCTCTCTACAATCGAAAGTGGTTTTCGTCTGTGTGCTGTATCTGCCCCCGGACCGCCTTGGAGATTCCGAGTTGATTGATCAACACTTAAACTCTCTCTCTCTTTTGGATCATATTCAAGATGAATGCAAATGACGACATCCTCGTAATTGGGGATTTCAATCTATCGTCTATCAAATGGTCCTGGAATGACGCCGGGTTCCTCCATCCTCAATCCAGTTGCTCAAACATTGCACCCTTGGCAGCAGCTCTTCTGGACAGCTACAGTACTGCTGATCTCGTGCAACTAAATAGTGTTTCTAATGAGAATGACAGATTGCTTGATTTATGTTTTCTTAGCCATGAAGTGGCTTCTAGTTGCTCGATTTATGAGGAGCCTGTGTCACTAGTTAAGCGTTGTAGACATCATCCACCTCTTCTGATATCATTGAAATTGAACCAGGCATTTTCTTTTCGTAACACTATGGATAACATTTCATATGACTACTGGAAGGCTGACTACTAGAGTGATGCAAAATTTGAAATTTTCGCTCCTCAATACTTTTTTTTTTTTTCATAATTACTTTATTTGTACAGGCTCAATCGAATAAACTTTACAGAGCCGAGTTATCCTTTGCGTTATACATTATTACTGTCTTAAATTTAAAGTTAAAGGAACTGGACCGAGTACTCGCGGTTGTCTCGAGGTTAGTGGAGATTTACAATTTTTTGGATGGGAAAAGGGAAGAAGGAGGTTTGAAATGTGGTTTACGATACAACTATTTAATTAATCCTAAAGCATGAAATTATTTCTATTCATCTTGAAAACAAACATTGAAAAAAAAAAACCCACACGTACAAAATACAAACTAAGCACAAGGTTAATCAAACTTACAATCTAAGGTTAATATCCTTAAAGTAAACATATATGAGTTTCATAAACTCCAGATCGCGTCTAGCCAAAATATCCCGAACTGGAACATTAGGTTGTCTACCTCGAGCCCGAAGGGAATCATAAAAATGTGATCTGACTCCACGATACTCCGCACAAGACCAAAGGATGTGATCAGCGTCCTGGTAACCTTGTCCACATTCACAGAGATTGCTGTCTCCCAACCCCACACGGAACAAGTGAGCGTTTAGACAATAGTGATTGGACATGAGACGAGACATCACGCGTATGAAGTCTCGACTCAAGTCCAGCCCTTTGAACCATGCAAACTTCGACACCTTAGGGATAATTGAATGTAGCCATCGTCCCAAGCTCCCTTCACTCCATTGATGTTGCCAGCTAACGAGCGACTGCTGACGATAAATAGAGAAAAATTCACTATAGGCGATCTGTCGATCATAAATGTCGCCTTCCATAGCGCCCACCCTCGCAAGTGAATCCGCCTTCTCATTGCCCAAAATTGAGCAATGCGAAGGGACCCACGCGAAGGTGATGATGAAAGAGCGAACGGATAAAGTACTAAGCAGTTCTCGTATTTTCAAGAGAAAATACGAGAAGTGCTTTACCGGCCTAATGGAACGGATAGCCTCGACAGAACTGAGACTATCCGTAAAAATAAAGTAGTGGTTTGGAAGAAGTGAAGCAATAGTTTCCAAAGTGTAGTGAATTGCTGCCAGTTCAGCCACATACACAGAACAAGGAGCTTCAAGTTTTCGAGAGGCGCTATGAAATTCATTAAATACACCAAAACCAGCGGACTCCTCTATTAGAGATCCATCTGTGAAAAACGTTCTTGCAGAATCAACATGGCCAAACTTTGCAGCGTATAATGACGGAGCAATCATAGGACGATGATGCTCTGGAATTCCGCGGATTTCCTGCGTCATAGATAAATCAAAATTCACTGAATTGCCGAAATCGGAGAAGATTACACGATTGGGAATATTTCTTGAAGGGCTGACATCCTGTGTTAAATAAAGGTAGTACAAAGTCATAAAACATGTTTGAGGATTTAGCTCCAGAAGCTTCTCAAAATTTTCGATCACCAGTGGGTTCATTACTTCACAACGGGTGAGGAGCCTAAGAGATAACTCTGAAAAACGGACGGATAGTGGCAACATGCCCGCCAGCACTTCGAGACTCATAGTATGAGTCGAGTGCATGCATCCTAACGCGATACGAAGACAACGATACTGGATCCGTTCCAGCTTGATGATGTGCGTTTTAGCTGCCGACTGGAAGCAAAAACTACCGTACTCTAAAACCGATAAAATCGTTGTCCGGTACAACGTCAGAAGATCTTGTGGATGGGCTCCCCACCACGTTCCGGTAATTGATCGAAGGAAATTGATCCTTAGTTGGCATTTTCGTCTCAGATACTCAATGTGGGATCTCCAGGTGCATTTGGAATCGAACCAGACCCCAAGATATTTAAAGGACATGGAATGAGTGATCGGTTTACCCAAAAGTTGAAGCTTCGGTTGTGCTGGGCTATGCTTCCTAGAAAAAACGACCAACTCAGTTTTCTCCGTGGAGAATTCGATACCTAGCTGAATAGCCCAAGTAGACAAATTGTCCAAGGTATCCTGTAAGGGTCCTTGCAGGTCAACCTCTTTTGGCCCTGTGATAGACACTACGCCGTCATCTGCAAGTTGTCTCAACGTGCAATTGTCACTAAGACAGACATCAATTTCTCTAACGTAGAAATTGTACAAAAGGGGGCTTAAACATGAGCCTTGGGGGAGACCCATGTAGCTAAATCGAAAAGCTGTAGAGTTTCCATGAGAAAAGCTCATATGTTTTTCTGACAGCAAATTGTACAAAAAATTATTCATTAATGGAGACAATCCACAAGCGTGGAGTTTCTCTGAAAGAACTTCAACGGATACTGAATCAAAAGCCCCCTTGATATCCAAGAACACAGAAGCCATTTGCTCTTTCTTAGCAAAAGCCAACTGAATTTCCGAGGAAAGCAACGCGAGACAGTCGTTCGTTCCCTTACCCCTACGGAAACCAAATTGAGTATCTGAAAGAAGGTGGTTCGTCTCAACCCATTTGTCGAGGCGAAAAAGGATCATTTTCTCCATCAATTTCCGAATACACGACAGCATCGCGATGGGCCGATACGAATTGTGATCCGACGCGGGTTTATCAGGCTTTTTAATGGCTATCACCCTTACTCGTCTCCAATCGTCGGGAACAATATTGAGCTCCAAGAACTGATTGTACAAGTTCAACATGCGCCTCTTAGCGACGTCTGGGAGGTTTTTCAGCAAGTTGAACTTGATTCTATCAGATCCCGGGGCAGAATTGCCACACGAAAGGAGAGCGAGTGAAAGTTCCACCATTGAAAAAGGCTGACTGATTTCGTCTACCGAATTCGCGGTTTCGCGAGGAATCAACTGCGACGGCACGGAATCCGGACACACTTTTCGCGCGAATTTAAGAATCCATTGATCCGAGCATTCCTCGCTTTCGTTGTTAGTAGACCGGTTACGCATTCTTCGCGCCGTACTCCAAAGCGTATTCATAGACGTTTCGCGCGACAATCCGTCTACAAACTGCCGCCAGTAACCTCGTTTTTTGGCCTTGATGAGGCTCTTGAGTTCGCGTTCAAGAGATGTGTATGCGTTGAAATGCTCGCGTGTTCCGCGTTTCCGAAAAAGTTTAAACGCGTCGGACTTTTTACGGTAAACCTCCGTGCATTGTTGATCCCACCAGAGCGATGGTGTTTTCTTACGAATAGACGATCGCGGCACCGGTCGTGTTTGAGCTTGAAGTGCGCTGTCGACGATGAGATTAGAGAGGAAATTATATTCCTCCAACGGCGGAAGCTCTTCCACTGACGATACTGTATCGTCTATCGCGGATTGGAACTTAGTCCAATCAATGTTACGGGTTAGATCATACGCGACGTTAACGGATTCTGACGAGTTGAACCCACTGGCAATCGAAATTTTGATCGGCAGATGATCACTACCGTGCGGATCCTGGATTACATGCCAAGTGCAATCCAACGATAGTGAATTGGAGCAAAAGGTGAGGTCTAATCTGCTACCATTCGAGGATGGACCAGCCAAACGTGTTACTTCTCCATTGTTAAGGATTGTCATGTTGAAGTTGTCGCAGAGATCATAAATCAAAGTAGAACGGTTATCATCGTACAGCTCCCCCCAGCCTGTACCGTGGGAGTTAAAATCTCCCATGATCAACCATGGAGCGGGAAGTACCGCACATATGTCGAAAAGTTGTTTGCGATTAACAGAGACTCTAGGAGCAATATATACAGAAGCAATACAAAGCTACCTTTAATGGTAGCCTGACATGCGACAACTTCAATACCGGGGAATTCGGGAAGATTCACTCTATAGAAGGAATGGCACTTTTTGATCCCCAAAAGTACCCCTCCTCCACGTGAATCCTCACGATCCAATCGAATAATGTTAAAATCATAAAAAGGGAGATCAATTTCTGAAGAGAGCCATGTTTCACAGAGGGCAAATGCATCGCAATTATTGTAATGGACTAAATACTTGAACGAATCTAATTTCGGGATAAGACTTCGACAATTCCACTGTAGAACAGTGATCAAATCCCCGACCTCGTTTGGAAAATTATCCATCGAAGGAGATGATAGCTGCAAGAAGGGGCCATTTTGAAGTCAATTGCTTCAAGAAGGATTTCACAGTGGGAAGCAATGTGAGGACAATGCTTTTCAGAGGATCAGAAATGTTGAGGTATTTGAGAATACCGTCCACAATGTCATCAAATGAGAACAGCCCAGATGAAGAAGGGGTTTCTGTTCTTAAAATTGGGGCATCAGGGGTTTTGGATGTCCCCGGAAGAGGT